GGTGTTAAAAAAAAAAAAAAAAAAAGTGCCTCCGGTCCCAAATTCTCTGGCTTGTAAATCGTCTCTATCAGCATCTTCTGGCTCCATCTGCATCCATGGAGGACCAGCCTGTGCAGCTGAAAATAATGGGAAGTGTCCGTCAATAATAATAATTTAGTTCTTTCTTGCTTGGCTGAAAACAGACTTTCGTAACCCTGTTGAGATTCCCCCTGCATTGGTAACATGGGTCACTAAGCAGCATCTATTTATTCTCTTAAAAACCCTGAACACTAAGTAAAATGGATGACATTTAATATAGGTTTTAAAAGCCTGATGCCTTAAATTCCATGAGATCTGGAGGCAATTGTTGTGCGAGACAAAAATCAGGGGTACTCAGACATTCAATAGCAGGTGCCGCCAACCTGAGCAGCAGGGGCAGGCGACCTGCTCCGCCCAGCCAAGGCCCGAGATGCCATCTCTGTCAGGAAAATTGAGACAGATGCTGCCGCTCTAACCTTCCTATTCATCACTGTCAACCCCGCTGTTTGCCGCGGAGAATGGTAAATGCAGACAAAGTCCTTTCTTCCTTTTCAACTCTCAGAAAAGAGCGCTCTTCCCCGGCTTGTTTGTCTGGTGGCTTTGCTGACAGCGTGAATGATTTGAATCCTTTTCCTGAGGGGCGGCACGTCAGGGTCTTAATGCAGTGCTAAAAACAAACACAACCCCATCACTAGGTGCACCGGCGGACTGAGAAAATACGTCGATCGCTGTACAGCTTCTCTACCACGAAACGCGGTGTGCGTTTGTCTGCCTCAGTGTTATGACCAGCAGTGGATTTTATTTTGCTCTGTCCCTGTCTCTTCGCTCCCTGATGTTTTGCCCAGCGAGGAGGCTTCATTAATTACCTGGAATTGGGACTCGTGGTAGAGCCGATTTTTATCTTTTATTAGACCAACTAGAAATTTGCAAAAAAAAAAAAAAAAGAATACTTAATTACCTGAGCATTTTTAAAGGAAACCTTTGTAGTGCTCTGCACCTTTTTGTAGTGTTTCAGCATCACACTATTGCATAGAAACCAGCACCTGCGAACTCAGATGCATTTTTTTTTTGCAGTGGATTCATTTTTGCCTAGAGTCAATAATATGCATTTTAAGAAAAAGAATTTATACACCAAATTGCAACCAACTGTGATGGTTAAATGATGGTGGGTTAAGGCAATAGTACTGCACCAACGATTCCCCTTTTTTTTCCAGGCGCTTTGGTTTATTTTACAAATATATTTGGTGCCCTTGCCATAGCAATGGGAGCCATGCAAGATTGAAGCGAACAGGACTACCCACTGCCCTTAGCTGGTAGATTTAGTAGAATCCGTTTGACTCTCCCATATTACCTGCTCTGGGGGAAGGAAAATTATTATGAAAGAAAATTATGAGCCAGCAGGGTGCCCTTGTTGCAAAGATGGCTAGTGGCATGCTCAGCTGCATCAGTAGGAGCGCTGCCAGCAGATCGAGGGCAGTGACTCTTCCCCTCTATTCAGCACAGGTGAGGCCACATTTGGAGTCCTGTGTCCAGCTGTGGGCCCCCCACTACAGAAAGGATGTGGACACATTGGAGAGTCCAGCGGAGGGCAATGAAAATGGTAGTGGGGCTGGAAGACAGGACTGGTGAGGAGAGGCCGAGGGAACTGGGCTGATTGAGTCTGCAGAAGAGAAGACCAAGGGGGATTGAATAGCAGCCGTCACCTCCCTGCAGGGGGGCTGCAAAGAGGCTGGAGCTGGGCTGTTCTCAGTGGGGACAGATGGCAGGACAAGGAGCAATGGGCTCAAGTTGCAGCGAGGAAAGTTGAGGTTGGATATGAGGAAATGCTTGCTCATGAGGAGAGTAGTAAAGCACTGGAGCAGAGAGGTGGTGCTGTCTCCATCTGTGCAGGTTTTGAAGACCTGGGTAGACAAAGCCTTGGCTGGGATGATGTAGTTGGGGCTGGTCCTTCGTGGAACAGGGGGTTGGACTAGGTATGACCTCCTGAGGTCCCTTCCTGCCCTCATTTTGTATGAGTCTATGAAAATTGGGTTGCAGAACTGATAATCGAGCAGATGCCTGGATCCAAGTGCAGTCATTGCACCAAGCCTGGGTATTTGACACATGGGAGAAGGGCATGGTCATCGTAGACGCCTCAGTCTGTTCTATAAATTCTTCCTCAGAAGTAATGCACTTAGCAGTTTTTGGATAGTGCTGTGTATATTCAAAGCATTATGTATAACCATTCATTCATTTTATAACCGTCACAAAGAAAGCATTCTGGGGCCTGGGGAGAAGTGGTAAATTAAATAAACATTAAAGACTAAATCTTGCATGCTTCCCTCACATGGGTAGTCCAATGCACATCAGCTGGCTTGGTGATGTGAGAGAGGCAAGCAGGAGTTGAGCTGCAAGCTTGTTTAAAAAAATGTATTAGGCTAACTATTAAAGAGAAACCTGTGAAAAATGAGATCTGTTTTCCTGTGGAATTTCCCCCCTGAGGAAAGAAGAAACCATATTGCTTGAAACGTCTAAAACTAGGCTGGACAGAGCTTTGAAGAAAAAAGGAGCCAGCCCTGCACGTAAAGGTGGATGGGCTTCTCTTCCAAGTCCAAGCTGTTTCCCAAGAGATGCATTACGTTTGAATGGATTTTTCTTTTTTATGTTCAGCTTTTGTCTTCAGTGTGATGTTGGAAATGCAGGTCTCGCTCAGGATGGGCTTTCAG